TTGGGGTGGGGGGTGTGGTTGGAAGTTGCTACTGGCATCTGGTGGGTCGAGGCCAGCTGAACATCCTACAATGCAGAGGACAGCCCCCTAACAAAGAATTTTCCAGTCCAAAATGTCAATAGGTTGGGAACTCCTACTTTACAGAATGATTTTGTTCAGAAAAATAGAAAAGAATCCACAACAGAAGCACTGCTAACAGTGGGCTTCACTTTGTTTTCTCTCCCAAAGTGAACTGAAAGTAAACAACATGTATGACTCAGCCTTCTGCAGGAAGCAGGGAATGGATGACTGTGGTTAGTGACAAAAACAATAATAAATGGCTTTGCCTGTCTTGTCTCTTTTTCAGAGTCAGGGAAGGAATGAAATGGCCAGCAATTATCATTTAAACTGCTGTTTTATCCTGTATCAATCAGAGCTATTCATTCTGGTTACTCTGAGACCTTTGGGCTGAAACCACACTAAATCAGGGTCACAGCCAGCGTGACGCTATAAGGCCAGCCTTTTTACTCCTCTAAGTGTTAATGACCTGGGCTGAACATCAATGGCAAGTTTCCATGAAAAAGCCATCTGAGACCCTAATCTAGGAACAAATGGTTCTATATGGAGCCTATTACCTTGTTTTTAATATTCTGCATTCGATGGGACCACAGCTGTACACAACTCTTCATTCTCATTTCTCCATGAAGTTAATTTGCACTGTGTCAGCACTGCAGCCTTTTTGCATATGTTCAGGACAAGCTGATATGAGCAGGCCTGGAATGAATAATGTTTAGTAAAATCAATAAACTCTATTATTAGTCACTAAGGGGACTGATTTTATGTCTATAAAAGTAAAACAATTAGAACCGTATTAATGGCAGATTCATCATAGTAATATAACAGAGCCAAGTATGCTTGTCTTTGGGGAATCTTTAATTTACCATTCAGTACCGACTACGTACTCAGCTAGAGAAATGGCACACACAATATAAACAAGCTCTGGCCTTTGGCAATTCACGTTGTCATCAGCAAAGACAACACTGCAACAGTTAAGGGGAAGAAACAAAACTTCATTTAGTGATTAATGTAAACCAGTCAAGAATAATGTTCCAGTAAAAGCCTAGGGGGAGAGACTATTCCAATTGCACTGTGCTTTTAGTCCTATACCTCTCTGGATTTACCAGCACTCTTGTTTATTACAGTAGCAGAGTTAAGTATGGTCTGATGTCCTATTTATACTCTATCTATTTAGGCACCTAACTAGAAGTGATTAAAAGCCTGGTATGTAATAAGCATACATCCAGTCATTTTGCAGCTGAAAGGCAAGACTGACTTTCATATGATTTTAAAAAAATACGTATTACTAAAAGCAGGAAAATCATCAGGAATCCACGGTATCGCCTAGCCACCAAGAGGAACATGATAATTCAACTGGTGAAGATGGAAGTTGACCTTAGTTCTGCTCCTGCGTTTCGACAACTGAATTGTTCGGTCAGTTCCAGAACTGGAGTAGCATGTAGGCAACCAACAGACATACTTTAAACCATATTCTGAACAGAGGAAACATACTTGTTTAACTGGTATAAGACAAATTACATCAAGTCCTCAAAGATACATCAAGATGTGTGGTCTAAGGGCCAACAGGCACATAAAAAGATGTTCAACATCACTCATTATTAGGGAAATGCAAATCAAAACTACAATGAGATATCACCTCACGCGGGTGAGAATGGCTAAATTAACAAGACGAGAAATAACAAGTGTTGGAGAGGAGGTGGAGAAAACGGAACTCACATACACTGCTGGTGGGAATGCAAAGTGGTGCAGCCACCATGGAAAACAGTACAAAAAATTAAAAATAGAAATACCACATGATCCAGCTATTCCACTACTGGGTATTTATCCAAAGAACATGAAATCAAGAATTCAAAAAGGTATATGCATCCCTATGTTCATCGCAGCAATATTCACAATAGCAGAAGCAACCCAAGCGCCCATTAACAGGTGACTGGATAAAGATGATGTGGTATATTTATACAATGGACTACTACTCAGCCATAAAAAGGACAAAATGGTGCCATTTGCAACAACCTGGATGAACCCTGAAGGTTTTATGCTAAGCGAAATAAGTCAGAGAAAGACAAATACCATATGATTTCACTCATATGTGGAAGACAAACAAAGAAACACAGAGATAAGGAGAACAGATTGGTGGTTTCCAGAGGGGAAGGGAGTGGGAGGAGGGCAAAAGGGGTAAAGAGGCACATATGTATGGTGACAGATAAAAACTAGATTATTGGTGGTGAACACGATGCAGTCTAAGTAGAAACTGAAATACAATAACGTACACCTGAAATTTACACAGTGTTATAAGCTAATATAACCTCAACAAAATAAATTTTTAAAAAATGTGGTCTAAGAACTGGAAAAATTTGATAACTTAAAAAAATGATGAAAAATATGTGAAATACTCTTATGTGGAGGAATAAACACCATAAACAATGTTTTTATAAATGATAACATGGATGACATTCAAAAGAAAAACAAACTGAAAACTAGAAGAAAAATCTCCTCCTACTGCAATCTATTAAGAACATGGACTAGACCTATAAGGCACGCAGCAGAGGCAACGCTTTACAGCAGTTTTCCATAAGCAGAGGAAACATTTCGTTTTGATTGCAAAAACCTTTTCATTTGTGAAGCAAAGGCCTCTAAGTAGGAGAACTAACCAAAATATATCAAGACAAATTCTGTCAAAGAACTTTTTAGAAAACCAAGTGATAGAACTGTCATTAGTAATGATAGTAAAATCATAAAAACTTACAGCTGGAAGGAAGCATTGAAATCAACCAGTCCAAACACACGCAGCACAGGCCCACATCAGGGCTTGCGCGCTTGCTTTTCTGTCTCACTGCAGGGCTTTACCCCCAGATACGTGCATGGGCCGTTCCCTCATCTCCTTTAGCAAGGCCTTCCCTACCACTCTATTTAGTCACAAACTTCCACACTTTATTTTTCTTCATAGCATCTATCAACTATCTAACATAGTCTGCACATTACTTAGATATTTTATTATGTTTACCCCACCTACTTAAAAATGCAAACTCTGTGAGGACAGGAATTTCTGTCTGCTTTATCTCGCACCCATACAGTGCCTGGGATAAAGTAGGTGCTCAGTAAGTATGTGTTTGAAGGAATGATTGACATCTTTGGAATATCATTCCATATCACAGAACCTGTATCTACCAATCTATAGTGATATCATGCTCCATGTTTGGAGTAAATACTCAGTAAATATGCATATATCCACTGAATTAAATATCCTATTTGGCTCTTGTGCATCATATAAGTTAGTATCTGTGTACTGTATCTTTCACATTGGACACTGACAATATTAAGAAACCTTTCTTTGAAAATTAGAATCACTATCAGCCAACTAAAAATAATATGAGACAGACAAGAAGCCATTATAAAAAAAAACCTTTTTAATTCTGATTGCCAAATTATTTAAGGCAGGTATAAAAAAGGAAAGCATTCAATATACATTTTACATAAAATAAACTAGATTACAGCATAAAACAGGTAACCAGGCAATGGCGTTAAAGTCTCTCTCTTCTAAAACTGGGTAATTGTAAACATTTAAAAAAAAAAAAAAAAAAAGGACTGCAGGACTATTCAAGTAATAGAAGAATCACAGATGTCTCTGGTATGCAGGCTGTTGGGTTATTTGCCATTCAAGATTATCAAAAAATGACACCTCATTATTCACAGATGCTCATTATTTCCCCATTTTAATCTTTACATTATATACAACACAGTTTTTGTGGTACTGGCAACCCCATGCCTTCCAAAAGTATTTTTTCCACAATACACAAGTACAAACAGTGACTACATGAACATTTTACACTGATGCGTCGTTAACAGGAGCCACCAAATAGACATCTAAATTGTACCAAGTGTCATCATCACAGTTAGCCTTTCTGAGGGGCTTATGGGAAATATATGAAGGATATGCAAGGTTCAGGCACACTGATACATAACGGTATTTATTTACAATTGAAAAGGAAAAGGAAAAGAAAGTAAGCAGCCTTTTGTGGCTAACACTTTTCAACATGACAAATATATTTTTTATTTCCTTTACTGAGTGGTTTGCAACTTGGCAGCAGACCCTGTGTGTGCGAGCCTGGTTACTGATACAAAAAGTAAAGAATATATATATATGTATATATACATATATGTATACGTATATATATATAAAACAGAAGTTTAATTACAGCAACATTTGTTACTCTGCGATAAAATCTGTAATTTACAAAAATGAAATGACTGGTTTTTGCCTGCCATTAAGGCATTTCAAATTAACACCATGGAACTGATGTCTGTATAAAGCGCTTCCCCATGTGATCCAGTCACATGACAACGTACATTTCCAATCTTGTTATTCTCTGCAAAAGAAAAGAAAACCTTAGCATAGGGTTCTAGCCACATTTGACACTGAAAATATGAAAACCATAAGATTGTTAGATAGACTTATTTTAATTCTACTCAATTCATGGAATTCAACTCCAAAGAAAGTGAATGAACACAAGGGTAATGATATACAGGGTGAAAAATAAATTATTTTCCTTTTTAAAACAACTTGAGGGATAATTAAAAATATCAAAGAATCAATATTACCTTTAGCATTATGAAAATAAATTTCTCCACTGTGACTTTATTTTTAAACATAATAAAGACAGGGGAGTCATGGTGAATTATTTTAACAAAGCTGTGAAGATAACCTAGGAAACTTTCACCTGTTTAAAACACTGATCAGTTAATTACTCATCGGCATTACAGCCACAGAAATGAAGCTCGTGGAATATAAACTACACGTGAGACACAGTGGCATAAAAGCACATTCATTACAATAATATAAAACCCTGAGGGGCTAAGTTTTTGGTCTAAAAAGCCTACACTTTCTTCCTCCCACCCATTACGATGTCTCCATCTAGAAAACTGAATCAAAATGTAGAGGGTATTTACCTTCTTTGTGTAGGAAACATTCCTGATGCAGATGCTTGGGCAGCCACCTGCTGAGAGGCAACGAGGGCAGCAGAGGTCAAGCCTAATGGGGAAAAAATGCAGGGTTTCTGTGACATGCAGAAAGAGAAGAGTAGATACAGGCCCAGGGGTAAATGGCTGCAGACTCAACAGCAGCAATTTGTCCTTTCCTAAACACACATATGAAATGTTTCATGCAGTAGGACAGAGTACAAACCGCTTGGTCTAACCAATATCTATCCCTTTATCGAATACTCTGCAGTTTTCTTAATAGCTATTCAAAGAGAATATGGCATTCCATCTCTCTGGCTCTGCATGGTGCTAAATGGTTTGCACGCATTCCTGAATAGGAAGCTCAGGAGAAATAATAGGTACCAGGTAACAACAGGAATCAAAAGTCACAGTGAATTATAGAAGCGACATGCTATTTGCTTAGAATACAATACTTTCATAATAACTTTTATCACTTTAACATTTTCCCCAGTGATTGAACACAATGCATCCCACAAGGTACATGGAATCAGTGAATCAAACTTAGAAATAGTCTTAACTTCTACCCTGCAAGAGAAAGGACGCAGTCAGAGAATATAATAGCTGCAAACGGCATGAAGCTGCTTAATAGGAAATTATTTTAATTCTATAAAAAACAATCTTGGAAAAAATAGAGGAAATAAATGCAAACCTAGAGAAGACTACTCTCTCCTTCTATGTCCTTTATGTTCTCTTTTAACACCACTAGTTGACACCAAGTAACGTGAGTTGAATAAATAAAAATGACGCTTCACATTTGTATAGCACTTCCCATAGCACTTCCCACTTCTGGAAGTACCTTCAAACATATCTTATATTCACACAGCAGAGTAAGAGGCAACTTGGCAAGTGCTATGGACTGAATTGTGTCCTTCCAAGATTCCTATATGGAAGTCCTAACCCCTAATGTGACTGTATTTGGAGATAGGACCTATAAGGAAGTAATTAAGGCTAAATGAAGTCATTAGGGTAGGGCCCTGATCCAACAGGATTAGTGTCCTTATAAGACAAGACATCAGAGAGTAGCTCTCTTTCTCTCTCCCTCTCCCACCCCTCTCCCTCCCCATGCACACAGAGAAGAGGTCATATGAAGACACAGCAAGATGGCGGCCACCTACAAGCCAGGAAGAGAGCTCTCACCAGAAACCAACCATGCTGGCACCCTGATCTCAGACTCCCAGCCTCCAGAACTAAGAGAAAATAAATTTCTGTTGTTTAAAGCCATGTAGTCTGTGGTATTTTGTTATGGCAGCCTGAGCTAAGACAGCAAGATCCTAGCAAATGGATCTGTTGGTAAAGATGGTGACACCACCCAACCCTTGTGAGCTTACAAGAGCTGGGACAAATGGCACATGCTCAGCTCAAACACCGTGAATTGAAGGCTCAATCATGTGGATTCTGTGGCTTTTTCAAAATGTTTCTCCATCTTTAGTGAAAGAGTCTCAGCAGTGAAAGGCTGTGAAGAGTCCCTGAATTAGGTTATAAAAAGTATTAAATCTGATCATGTTACTCCCATTACTTCCAAGGAAAAACAGCAACTTCGAAGGCCTGCAGAAATCAGGACAAGTTCACCGAAGCCTCCCACCATCCCTCCCTTTTTTCCACAATTTCCCTGAGGTAGCTGTCTAATCTTCTGATTGTTATATTCAGTGCCCGAGACACTGGCCGCCATCCGCAGTCTGTGAGATAACAGTAAGCTGTTGATAACATCAACCACTGACAATTATTAAGTGGTAGCCATTTCATGTCTCAATAGAATACAAGGATGTAAGAATAACCCTAGCTGTGTCACTAGGAAATTCTAGGAAGTAAGTATTAAAAACACTCCCCAGAGTTAATGTTAACTCAAAGCTCAATATTTTTAAGACTCGAAAGGCAGTTTTGGCAACCGTTTTCCAAAGCAGAATGAACAAAGGCACAACAACGATAGAGCTGCTGACCTTGAAAAGGGTCATATTGACCAGGGATGAGTGGGTAACCCATGCCAACGTGGGTGTGGTGGTGCGTATGGAGGTGCCGCTGGCCGAAGGGGGAGTGGCGATCCCGTTCCCTTTCCGCTTCCCGTTCCCGCTCAGCTGTAGCCTTCTCCACAGGCTGCAACAGAAAAGAGAAAGTACCCCCTTAACCTCTGATAAACAACTAGCGGGAGTACTAAACCACCGTTGTCTTTTCAGCAATGTGTGTTAACGACAAAAAGTAGATACATGGATAGTTAAAATTCTTTATTAATTGAAGACAATGTCAAAAGGCATGCATTAGTTTCAGGTGGAATTAAGCCAACACTCAAGAACTGCTCACTCCAAAGTAAACCAAGTGGCATCAAGATTTTCCTCAAATGACTGAAATAAGAGGACTTCTCTCTATATTCAATCACAATGGCAGGTTTAGGATCTACCCAATTTCTTCTCAGAGACAACTTGTATATATGGAAAAAAGTAGGTGTGGAGATTTTCTTTAAAGTTAAGTTCTCTAACTACCCTTTTATGTTATTTACATTTTGTGGGGAGAATCTGCCTCATAATTTTAAATATATCTCTATCTATTTTAGTTCACTGAAAATACACATCCCAATATTACATGCCAATATCAAGCACAGGAAATCATTGCTCTATGCCCCTGGAAGCATTCCAGAATCTCTCAGTTTTTGAATATTCATAGAAAAGCTCCAGTTCTCCCAAATCATAGTTTGGTTAAAGATGGTGTGTTTCCTATACATTTCTACCCACTAGAACTTAACCAATCTCTCGCTAAAGTTCTCCTTCTCACTTGAAAAAAATCTTTGCACTAGGAGTACTCAGAGAAGAAGATTCAGAAATCATCTTTTCCAGTTTCTTTATCGCCTCTGGTGGACTCATTCACATCACAGATCCTATATTTTAATTTACTCGAAATTTCTCTTTTCTAGCGAAGAACTACCACATCCTTTCTTTTGTCTATCTTCACAACAGTCTCTAGGACTAGCAGTTGCCCTTTTGGGGGTGGGGGGCATCTTTCACAAAGACACATGTTTGCGTTAATTCAGCAGAGTTATAGGGACATGACAATGAGTCAAGGTCAAAAAAGAGCAGCAGACGCAGCCACCACTCCTTAGCCAAGTGACTCACCCTGGCACACGAGTGCATCAAAACATCTTACATCAAAAATATTTCACACCAAAAGTTGGTTCCTATGAATTCAAATGTCCACCTAACAAGCATCCTCCGGGGTAGGGAAGGTATAGTAAATTTAGTAAGAAAAGTTTGCTACCACCATACATGCTTTAATAATTGTTTTTCCTGATATGTGAAAGCGTCTTACTTTTGAACATTCCATTCTTTATGGATTAGGATAAAACAGCATCCTGAAATCACAGCTGGGTTCCAAAACCATTTATATTTCAAGAGTGTTCTCTAGCTTGACCCCTTCTTCTCCCCCAAAACACAGTCCTTTTAAATGACAACAAAAGGAGGCTTACAGCAGGAGACTTGCTGCGGTACTGGTTGGCATGCTGCTGGAGCAGATCCAGTGCTTTAGACTCAGTGGTTGTTTTCGTGTTGATGCTAGGGCTGGTATTGACCTTCTCTGCCTCTTCTCTCCCTGACATCTTCCCGTAAACAGGATAATGAAATCCTGGAGAGAGATAGGCTCCTGCAGACAAACAACGAATGCCACATCAAGTTACGGGCTACATCTTGAAAAAAAAAAAGCATTTGGATTACACAAATTTGGGATAAGAGTCAGAGATCTTAAAAGAGGGGATCACATTAAGAATGGGCTCCATCATCATTAAACTGTATCTAGGTTCTCCAATTTTCTTCTCCAGTTAATTCATCTTGATGAATGGAGGTTATAAACAGAATTGAGCTCACAGCCATTTCATACATTATGTGTCCACTTAAGTGAAAGGAACAGTAACTATAATAATTATGATAGTAAGTGCTTAGAATATTTTCATAGGCGATACAGTATCTGTCAGTCTAACAGCTACAGCCGACCATCAGAGACTATGGAAACTATAGCGGAGGACTTTTGGCATTTCCTCTAAAAAAAAAAAAAAAACGCTTATATTAAATCAGTTTCATCTTTGGGGTTTTAAGCAGCATAAAAGCAAGCAAAACAAATGTCACTCTTAAAGAGTCTAATTCATTCTGAGTTTTTAAACAGCTAATATTTGAACACAGCCTCTTCCCTCCAATATAGTGAGAACGCACAACACGTACCAGGGTAACTGTGCATTAGGACGGGAGAAACAGCCCGGTATGCAGGGTGGCTGGGGTCATACATCTGTGGGTAAGGATAAGCATGCAAGTACTGTATGTAGGACTGATGCTGACTCATGGGAGAGGAAACAGCCACTCTTGTGCCCCGAGAGTCCTTCCAGTTCACAGGGGTCTTTCGATCATCATTTTTCAGCTTGTTCTCCTCCAAGGATTGAGAATCAGGACGCTTGGCCTCTTTGGGCTCCTCTTTAATGCTCGTTAACGATACAGGAAGGCTGGGCACACCACTCTCCTTATTGGGAGTTTTCCTGGGACTATCCTCTTTTAATTTCTTTTCTCTATCAAGTTCTTCTGATTTTTGCTGATCCAGGTATTTGGGCTGGTAAACGTAATGATGCCATGTCCTTGAATCTGGATCCTGATTTTTAAAAAAAGATTTTTAAAATGTCAATTTTTAAGAAAAATCCATTACTCACCATGACAGCACTATTACTATTACTTCTGATACTAAGTTAACATTTACTTATATGCCTGCACTGTGCAAAGAGCTTTATCTCCTTCTCTCACAAAGTAATAATGTCTGAGGTAGGTATTATTATTAATCTCTTTTACAGAAGATAAAACCAAAGACTTTAAAGCTCCAGTAACATCAGGGTCCCACTGCTGCCCAGTGTGGAGTTGGGCTTCAAATTTAGGTCTGCTGGAATTCAAAGCTGGGTCCTTCATGTCATTTCTCAACATTAAATAACATCCTCAGACATATTTAATCTAACCCTCATTTTCCTTTTAATATCTCACATAGGTAAAAAGAGTTTTAAAAATTCTAACTCAAGCTAATAATAGTAAATTTAAGTAAGTATTATCAATTAACATCATTTAGGGGGTAAAACCTCTTGGTTTCCTAACACATTTTCTTCATCTACTGCAGCTGAAGCTTAATATATTGTCTCATTATGTGCTAATATCCTAAGCAAAACACAATTTCAAATTAATAGCACACATTATGGCTTTTCTTAGAAAACAAAGGCATCTATAAAACCCCCAAATTGTAGAGTTCTAATGCAGCCCTGGGAAACCACAGCCTGATTTAGGCCTCCAGAAGTGGGGGAACTGAGGATCCTAAATGGCCTTTGTGACCCCCATCCCATAGGTCCCAACTGTCGGGCAGAAATGAGCATGAAGAAAGGATCTGTTGCTCTGATTCACCAGGGACATCTAAGCATGGGAATGGAGTGGGGGTTACGGGTGACAGGAGATACCAGAATTGATAATCATGGGACTGCAGTGAGTCAGGATGTCTGAACCATGAGAGAAAGTGCTAGCACACGTGTGGTTTCACGGGGACCGATCTTCAGGTGTCTGCACATGTAACCTCAAGCTGGCTGACCACGGGCCTCTGGGATGACTGCTCGAGGCCGGTCCACTCCAATCTCCTCACTCTCCTCACAAGTGATCCGCGCTGAGCTCCGTTTGGGGCACTTACCACAGAGTGTAAAACAGAAATCCAGGCATCTCAGACACCACGTGAAAGACATCTGGGCCCCAAGTTTTATTAAAAAGATGAGTGGGAAATGTGCATTTAAGGACCCAGTGTTAATATTCCTAGAAGATGCCAAGAGAAATTCGGAAATGTAAAAGAACAAATATCTTAGAGATCAGACTCAGAATCCAGAGTTAGAAGGGAACTCAGCGGCCTCACTGAGTGAGAATTACCTCACTTTGGACTCAGTAAGAAATTAAGGGACCTCGTCAGATTCACAGTTAGTCAACAGCATGGAACACGCATGTCCACAGTTCTTTTTACTACACAACATGACAAGGAAATAGAGAATAATGCACGTTTTAAAGATATACAATAACTCCTGAGAGAATCTTTTAAAATAGTTTTCAAGAGAAGAGGAATCAACCCTAATACACCCTTGGTTTATCTCCTGTGAAGAAGTCTAACCAGATCAAGCCCAGACCCGTCCGAGTCTCAGACTGCTCTCTCCCTGCGGGGGCCACGCTCCACAATCTTACTTGTTTAAATCTCGAGGTTGGGTCTACACCTGTCTGCTTCATAGAGTCCATGACAGATTTCATTTCTACAGCCTCCTTAATAAGCTGGTGGTTTTCCATCTGCTTAGCTTTGAAGCTGTCGGCCTGAAGCTGCTGCTGGTGATTGGAGAGAAGCTGCGATTTACCTGTCTCCTCAGTTTTATTAGGCACTGACGGCCCTAGTTTACAATGGTTTTTGTTAGGCTCCGGAGTGGAGGGAGCTTTTGAGATTGTGGCCGACGGCATGTTTTTCTGTTTACTGTCCTCCTTGCCCAGCTCTTTCAAGGGGAGCTCATTTTTCCTTTCACAGTCTCCTCGCCCAGTTTGGGCCATTTTCTGCTCTGCCAGCCTCTGGTCCTCATAGTACTTCTCGTACTGCTGTCTATAGGCAGGGCTGGTGGCCATCAGCGACTTCTGGTCCATATAGAGCCCATAGGCATACTGGCCGTAATAAAGTGACTGAGCCAGGGCAGGGTGTCTCTGCGTGATCACCGACTGGTGCTGAGGCTGTAAGGATGCGGAATTATGGTCCACTTTCTTGGCATCTAGCTGCTCTGCCTTGTCTTTCTTTTCTGCATCTTCCTCAGACTCCTTCTTGATCTTCATTCCCTGCATGCTCCCAGTGTTGCCAGCTGTAGGGGCGCCGATCTGCCCAGGGTGCAGGTAACTTGGAGAATAATAAGGATCGTAGCCATGGTAATAGGGAGAATGGGACTCTTTCATTTGAGATGATTGTGCTATAGTTGAAGAATGCCCTTTTACAACACCATCCTTACTAGAAATGATATCTGATGGGGAACTAGCCTTTGACCTCATGCCCTCTGACCTGCTGTCTGAACCACCATCATCGGCAGCATCAGATATATCTGAATAGGCGGGGCTGCTCGTCTTGGCTGCAGAACTCTCTGCCCCATTTTGCGTCAACACATGCAGTGGGGCCATTGGCGCCTGCCCGTTCACCAAAGTGCTGCATTCCATTCTGGAGGCGCTCCCTATGGAAGGGCTGGGGGCGTTGTCTGTGAAAGTGTAAACCTTATCAGCCTCGGCTTTGATACTGGCCATTCGACTCTCTTGAGACTCTGACAGTCCATTAGCCAGCCCTTCATTCTTGTTGAGATGGTCCTTTAAAAAATGCCCAGATAAATCTTTGCCGGCCCCCTTGGCGTCCTCTAGTTTGCCCAGCTTAGCATCCATTTTTGGGCTTCCCGTCTCTTTCCCTTCTTTGTCCTTCAGCTTTCGCTTCTCCTTTTTCTTTTTGTCTTTGAGTGACACAAGAGCTGGGTTCACGGTGATGGGCTCCCCCATAATTGTGGGCTTTGGTTGAATGGGTTTTAATGGAGGACTCTTTGGTGTGGCCTGAACAACAGTCGTCGTGAGGGAGGGCAGTCCGGGTATTGTCCCCGTGGTGGTGCTGGTAAAGGCTGCAGTGGGTATAGCGATTAGTTGCGGGGGAGTGGGGGCGGGGGCAGGGGCAATGGGCCGGGCAGTTTTAAGTTTCGAAAGGTTTTTGTCCATTTTGCAATTGTTGGCTTTTTTGCCCTTTTCTTTATCTCCCAAAGTTTTCTTGTCAATTAATCCTTCTGCTTCCAGTTTGGGCATTTCAGCAGCCAAACTGCCATCCACTGCCGAGCAACTGTCTAACGCGGCCGTCATGTTGGAGATCACCGGAAGGTTATTCAGTTCATTGTTAAGGCCCTTCTTTTTACCAGAATTCTTCCCAGCTTTAGATCCGATAACAGAACCTGGACCATTGCTCATCATCTCTCTCTTCCCCTTGGGGGTCCCAGGGGGGTTCCCCGAGCCAGGGGATGCGGGCGCCTTCACCTGGTCATAGGTTGATACACTTGTGCTTGGCTCACTGCATTCGAGGGCCACGTTACTCAGTGCCTCCTCGCAGTCCGAGATCTTGTCCTCGCTGTCAGGTTCAAACTCCAGCTTGTTTTCCGGGTCTAAGTGTGCATGAGCTTGGTGGTACCTCAGGCCGTTAATGTGCTTGTACTTTTTGTTGCAGTTTGGGTGGGGGCAATCGATTAAAACTGGAGAAGAGCAGCCTTGGTCCAAAAAAGTAGTCTCTGGTTTCCCTTGAGGGGTGGTGGGAGTGCTTCTAGAATTTGTGCGGACCCGCTTCCCGGGCTTATTGTCTTCGGAGCTGGAGTTGAGGTCTAGCTCCATCGGAGGCTTGTTTTTCCTTTTGTTTGTAGAGGAGGGGCTGGCTTTGATGTCCTCAGCGGCACAATTTGGGGGTGTCCTTCGCCCGCTGGCATTGAGGCTTCCCCGCCTCCCTTTCCCATTGGCCCCCCCTCTGTTCTTGTTCTGCAGCCCTCTGGACTCTGCGAAGCTGGCCTCTGAGCCCGGGGCGGCTGCGGCAGACCTCGCTCTCTTCCCTCGGCCCCGGCCCCCTCTCATCTCCAGGTCGCTTGTTGGTGACTCACAGAACCTAGGGAAGCAAGCAACAGACGTCAAAACGAGCATCCCCAAAAGAGCCAGGCAAGATCACAAGGCACACAGTGCAGCAAGAGCAGTCAACACCACAGAAGCTTGAGGGCTGGGCCCAGAGAAGGAAAAGACCCCCTGTTCTTCCACAGACAATTTCAACACCTGCAAAAGAGCAGGCTACCAATGGCTTCTAGTCTTCCTCAGAAAATCAAAGAAAAACAGCTCAGGGAGCTAGCTTCAAATCCAGTCCAAATGCCCATTTTGAGAAAAGAAGAAAACAAAGGAGAGAGAGAAGGGGCAGGGACTAGAGATCTCCTGACAGAAAGAAATCCAGCATCTGCATTTCACTGGGTTCAGTCCTGAATTGCTCATTTCTCTTTTGCTTGGTTTCAATTACAGGCAGACTCTGATGTATTATTAATCTCTCTCTACAGTTTCCTTGCAAAGAGAGGATGGGGGACGAAGAGGAGCAAGGAGAGAAAACAGAGCCTGAAATAAAAGGCCGCGTGCATACCTGGGAGGGGCCCAGTCGTGCTTGGTGCAGTCCAGTAGGGTCCCTACGTACGTTTTGTTCCTCCACGTGACATTGACCACTAGGACACCTGCAAAAGCGGGGAACAAAGGAGGACCATGGTTAGCACCCATTACTCTATTTCCAGTTCATTTATTATTATTATTATTATTATTTTTACCAGCAAAGTTCTATTCTCATTTGTTTTCAAAAGTTGTGGTTTGGACTCTTCCTCTTTCTGGTTTCAGTGACCTCAAGTGAAAACCCACAGGAAATTGTGTGTGTGTGCGTGTACGCATGCGCGTGTGGTATAAAAGGGTAAGGCTTGTGTGAGAGTGTAATCAAGACACTGCTGACAGAAGGAAATGGTTTTTGCCATGTCCTGCTGTAAAACAGCAACACTCACCTCTTAATTTTTCTATTATTACACATAATTGCTTTCGCTTGGCAAGCAGCCAACAAAAACTAAGCCACAGTTACCAGTGCTTAAACCAGACGTGACTGAAAGGAATCAGTTTTGTTTCCAATTCAACAAAGTAAATTAACGGCGATTTTTATTTAGAAAAAACTTATGCCGGTGCACAAAAAATAGATATAGAGAGGGAAAGCAGGGGCTTGGATTCCAGATAGCAGACAATCAGCTATGATTTCTCTTTCCTACTCCTCCCCTCTCTGGCTTTGTGAGACAAGAATCAGCCTTGCTATGGTATCTGTTTTACTGCTTGGTCTTGTTTCATATTAAGGACTCCTAAAATAGCCCTCTTAAAAAAATAAATGTGCACAATAGGTTTGCTCTTGGGGTTATCTTTAGAATCAACTTTAGTAAGCATTTGCCACAGAGGATTAGAAAAAAAATCTCAAAACCAACACACTTGTTTCCTGCAAGCCATTCTGCTTTTCCCAACTGCTTTGCAGACAATTTAATTTAGCACTGCATCTGTGAATTACCAAACTTAAGTGCACTTAGTATACCAAATGTCACAGGGAAACAAAATATAACATCCTCTTTCTTTCTTTAGGGGCCAAGTGCCATATTTGTTTTTTAAATCACTCCTTTAAAGCATATATTAAAAGCACCTAGATTTTGAGACATACATAAAATATTAGGGTAAAGAAATGAAATATTTAAGTGAGCCTTTGTTTTCTTTGCTGTACCTACCCCCTATTCTTTCTTGGAAACACCAAGGGACATTACTCAGTCTATTTCTAGCTGGTTTGCTCACTTGCTCACTGCCATTTTGAATTTTACAGAAAACCTGTATTGAACTCCTTCATGGTAAGGGACACCTCACAAGGTAAGGCTCATTTCCTTGGGAACGTTTTAACAGCAGGTAAAATATTTGAATGGTTGGGACTCAAGCAGCGGGGGAGGAAGGATTTCTTTCAAAAAGTCTTAAAAAGAGATTTAAAAATTGTTCCCATATGGTCTATATTGCTATTACTTAGGTGACAGCTGAATTTACTCACTGTAGCAATGGGGGAGGGGGGAGCTAGCATGAAGCAAAGCAAGCATTTCCTCAAATCACTGTTGATTCCGTTTTAATTCCCTCAGGAAATTTTTTTAAAACTATTGAGTATAAAAATTCCTATTGAGATGAGAATCAATGGTAATTAGGCATTTGGTCAAAATTTGCACAAGACAGAACAATTGGAGGAAAGGATTCTTTATGAGCACATCCCTTCAGGAAAAGGGAGGGGGTGGGAAAGGAGGCGAAGGGGAAGACGGAGCTGGTTTTCTCATCATCTGCTCTCTGGGGCACTGTGTGTGGTGTCAAAGACCTTTGCAGCTGCTTAAAATTCTTTAGCATGTCAGCTATATTTACAGTGCTGGAATATATGTGTATTGCCAGAAGGTTACTGCATTTTAGCTTTAGACGCAATAGGCTGAATCACTGCGTTCCAGGGTCCCTGATGTAGCACAAATGTATAATTAAAATTGCTTGAAAGGAAACATGAAAGAAACAACAAACCCTCCATTCTTCCAGCAATAAAATTAAAAACAGGAAAAGTCTGCACAGACACTTAACATTTGTCTGCAGTGAAAGGCTTTTGTTATTGCTTTTCCCCTAAGGGTTTCGCGTTTCCAGCAAATGCTGGCCACGGATTGGCCCGCGCCTGCTGGGAACGTTCGCGTCTGATTGGCTGGGCCGAGCGCGGCCGCCCGGGATAAAGGAGCTTCGCCGAGGGACGAGGCTGCGGCCCGGGGGGCGGCCGGCCGGGGCGGGGGGACGTGCGCGCCAGGCCGGGGTTCTGGCGGCAAGAGGGCTGCCTGCGCTGCCCGGCTCTGTAAAGCAACGCGGGCAGGTCCCTCTGATGAAAGGCTTCTGTCTGCGTGACGTGCTGGGTTTACCACCACGACCCACGCTGCGCAGCCCGACGTGGCACGCCAGCCTGCTCAGAATGCTCCGAGCCGAATTCGTGGTCTCAAAACAGGACAAAGGGAAACCTGGGGCTGGCGACAAGGAAGGGACCCCAAACAAGCAATTAACCCTTGGTTGTGTGGGCTTACCATGTGAAGCTGTCACAAAGGCTAAACTCAAGTTGCAACTTGCACACTATAAAACTATTCACATCGCCTGATACTATTCCTAGAAACCACACAAGAAGACCTCTTATCTAAGTGATATCATTATTATTAGCACTCGGTGGGAATAATATCCTGTAAAGAAAAGTCCATCTTCAACTTCAAAGGGCCTCAATAAGTCAGCCCTATTTTTCTAGAAGCCCTCGGTATTTAAAAATGCTCAAAATAAATGCTCTACTCCCCGCGAGGTTTTAAACAGTCTCCATCAAGCAGTGCTAATTAAATACGTGTGCTTGTGTCTATTTTTCTTTATATGTACAAGCAGCTTCACAATGCCACAGAGTATTTATATCTGCCTAGAACTCACGTGCGAATATACACATGCACATGTTTACACCGCCAAATCTGCTGCTTTATATTGGAATGAAGGCTTAAGGAATGCTTCTCATATAAACTACAAAGTGTATTGTTTCTTTGTAAGGAAGTCTGTGTTTAGACAACATCCTGTTGTGAGGGGCCAAGTATAAAGGTGGTGTTTTAGCTCTAAAAGATGCAAATGGGTCATCCTTTTGCTGAAGTCTCAACATCATGAACACTTTGTAACCCATGGGTCATATAAAGCAGACTATACTTTTTAAAGGCATAAATGACCAAAATGAAAATTAGTCCTTTAAAAGTATAAATTTGAATTTTATACATCTAGGCATAGTTATGTTTCTCGCTTATATCAATTGGACATAAACTTGCATTTATTCTGAAAAGATTTAATATTTATTTTAAGGCACATTTATTCTTTCAAATGTCTAGCCTATGAGCTAGGTGCTGGTGACACTCTACAAGTCCCTTTCATCTTTGTATTCTCAAGTATCCCATCAGGTTTATTATCCTCCTTTTCCACGCATGGACTGGGCATGGTCTTTCTGAAAATGCTATAATGCCTGCTCTGTAACATTTTATATTTGAAAAATATCTGAAGATTATTACCAATAAAGTAAGAATACAGCTGAAGAGAGCAATGGATGGTTTGAGTGTGCTCCCCACACAGGGTTTTCTTCTTTGTATTAATAAGGCTTTGTCTTAGATACTGATACAGAATCTAAGCTGCCACCTCCATAAAGCATGTTACCTACAGAACACTTAAGAACACGTTCTGTATTCTATAACCCAAGCCCCTTACCTCTATGAGCCCAAAGAGCCCTGAGATCTCATAAGGATTCCACAGTCTCAGTGTTCTAACTACTATTTCCTCTTGTCAATACTTAGCAGTTAAGTGTTCCCAGAGAGATGGTCAGACCCATTAAACATTTATTAAGCATCTTTAGGGTAATACACTAGGTACCTATTTGGTGCTATGGAATCACCCATCTTCTGGCTGGAACTCCACCCAAACTCTATATGTTAAGAGTCTGCAAACTTGTAACAGAACCAACACAGGCATACCCTATAATCCAGAAGGGGAACTCCAGTTTGCATATTACCCGTACTTAGAGAGTGGGCTCCTTAATCCATCACATTAAACTAGATAGACCCTGGATGTAATTTTTATAGTGCTTGTCCTGCCCACAGTCCCTGCTCAGAGGTCTTAGTGACTAGGCTCCTAGGCCAGTAATCCTAACCCTGGCCTCATCTGACTGATCCAGTGACCGGCACCTGAAACAGAGGCAACCAAACAGGGACTCACTTTGGGAATCTGAATTAGTAATATGGAAGAGAAAGTTGATAACAAGAGCGGAAACCTAAAGGTCACAAGGTACTAAGGGCTGAGAGGACTATGCTGGGCCAAAGCCCTCAATACTTGTGTGTGTGTCTCTTTTTCCTCCTGCGTCATCACTGATAGGGGCTCTTACCAGCATTCATGATTGCCCCATTATTTTCCAGCCATCTTGTTAAAAAGTTGCTCCTGGTTATGAACTAAGATCTGTCTTTGAATACTTTGGTCCTGGCTGTGCCTTCCAATACCCTACAGAGACAGTCCACTTGACAGCCTTTCACCCAGGCAAGGACAATGACCCTGTCAACATTCTCTTCACCTGCAGTTCACACAGTTTTCTTCCCTCCAGCCTAAACAAGTTTCTCCAACCACGCTTCATGTCACACTTTTAATTCCCCTGAAAAAAACTTTAACGGTGTCCAAGTCCAAATCCCCAAGGAGAGCTGGGGTTCCTAATGAATTAGGACCAAACAGAGACAAAGTCAAATGTTATCTCTTCCATAAATCCTCTCCAGTCACACACAGACCATGCATACCACCAAAGAACGGCCACTCCCTCCTGGGTGCCCACCGTACTCCATACACAGTCCTCTCACCAATGGATGCTCACCAGAATCCATGTTTTCCCTCTGAGTCCACAGCCAGACACTGTCTCAGCCTCCCTTATCAGTTAGATGTGGCCCTGTGTCTCAGTTCTATGAAAGACAAGTGAGTGAACTGGTGCATCCCACTTCCAGGCCTGGCCAATGACAATCTCCTGTGCATATTCTTCTAATTTCTTCTCCTTTCTGGCTGGCTAGAATGGAGACTACAGCGACCTTGAAAGCCACAGGAAGATGGCAGAATTCCTTCACCT